CCATATGTTCAGCCTCTCTCTTTGTCCACTTCACATTGAGTACCCATATAGAATTTTACATGTTGTTAAAATTATGTAGGTTTAAGAGTGTAAAAGTGTTTAAGAGCATATGAAGTGTTGATAAGAGTGTGGGAAAGATTAATAAGAGAGTGGGAAAGGTTTATAGGAGTGTGGGAAGGGTTTATAAAGCCATAAAATATATATAAATAATAAATACATGCCACTGCTTCATGGATTTTCACCTTTTGTGGGGTTTCTGGAAAGTAACTCCCATAATAGGTGAGGGGTCACTGAATATGACTGAACAATAATTTATGCATCTATTTCTCAGTAGAAGTGGATTTTTCAATTAATAATAATAAAAGAACATTTTATGCTGAATATAGCTAGTATCTATCAAGTACTTACTGTATGTCAGGCACTGTACTAAGCTCTTAGCTATGGCAACTCCTCTGGGCATTGTTGTAGTGTATGTCTTGCAAATGTCTCCTCCTTTAAGAGTTTTCTAGGGGCATAAATCCAGACGTAGAATTAGTTAATATGCTTATCCTTTCTAAATGTTACCAAAATGTTCCACAAAGTGTTTCTTCCCATGTATCAGTGTATCTGAGAGGTTTATTTTGCCTCCATCTTTTACCAGTGTGCTAGGCATGAAAAAGTATTGGTTTTATACTGCTTTTTCTAGGTGTATAGGTGAGTCTAGTTCTGTTTTAGATTTAGTGAATCTACTCCATTTTAATGTTTTTGTTCTATTCCAGGGGTTAGCAAACTTCCTACAAAGGGCCAGGTAGTGAGATAGGGTTTTGGATACAACTGCCATCCTGTGTAACATGAGGTATTATAGTACCAAAGCAGCCAAGGACAATACGTGAACATGGTTGTGTCTAATAAAGCTTTATTTGTTGACACTGAAATTTGAATTTCATAAAATTTTTATTTGTCATAAAAATATTCTCTTTTTTAACCAGTAAAAAGTATAAAAAAGAAAATTAAAATATAACAACTAAACATGTAAAATTCTGAACTCATGGGCCATACAAATATACAAGTGGTAGGCAGGTTTAATCTACAGGCTCTAAATTTGCTAATTCTAGTCTCTTTTTCTGCGAAATTTTTATTTACTAGAGCCTATTATATAAATATAAAAGGACTGGGTGTGGCAATCCCAGCACTTGGGAGGCTGAGGCAGGAAGATTGCTGTGAGTTCGAGGCCAGCCTGGGGTACAAAGTGAGTTCAAGGTCAGCCTGAACTGCATAGTGAGACCCTGTCTCAAAAAGGCAAAAAAAAGGGATATATCTGATTGCATTTTAATTTATTTGATTAAAAATAACATGACAAAGTAGTACATATGGCTTATAAAATTTTTAAATACAAACAAAAATGAAGAAAAATCAGTCTTATAATCCTTGGATTACTACTATAAATACCTTTGCTCAGATTATATAATTTTTCTGCTCAAAATTATGCATTACCTCTCCATCTGAGTAATCAGCAGTGTTTTAAAAATGACTTACAAGGGCCAACATATCTAAATTTCTCTAAATCTTCCTGCTTTATTCTGAATACGCTGGCCTTCCCTGAACACACAAGAATCCCCTGCTTTTGGGAAACTGTAGCATCCTCCCCCTCTCCTTAAGTCCTTTGCTCAAATGTCATCTTTTCTGTATGATCTTTAAGGATCCCATATTTAAAGTTGCAACACATTTTGTATTCCCAGTCTTCTTTCTCTGACCTTTTTGGTGGTTGTTTGTTTATTTTGGAGGGTGGGTGTTATGGTTTCTGTCTGCATGTCCCCCCAAAGCCTCATGCAGTCATGGGGTGGGCTTCTAGAGTTTATGACTGATTAATGGTCCATCTCTGGGATTATGGGTGTGAGTGCTACACCTGCCCTGGGAAGGGATAGTTTGCATACAATGTAAGGGAGGGAAAGAGGCTGCTTGCCCCCACTTCCCCCTTTTGCTCTTGTTGCTTTTTACTATATTCCGCTCCCCTGAACTCTTGCCCTCGCCATGTGCCACTCTGCCTTGGAGCCAGCCAAGTATGGTCTGAAACCTCCACAAACAGTGAGCTAAATAAACCTTTCCTTCCTTAATTTTGGGCGTTGGGTATTTTGTCTCAGCAATGAGAGAAAAGTAACCAAGAGAGTGGGATTAGGGGAGAGGTTTGAGACAGAGTCTCATTATGCAGTTCAGGCTGGTCTTGTACTCACTATGTAGCCCAAGCTGGCCTCAAACATGGGGATCCTCCTGTTGTAGCCTCCCAAAGTGCTGGGGTTACAGGTGTGTGCCACCACACCCAGCTTGCTGATTTATTTTTGTCCATAGCACTATCATTACTTAATGTATTCTTTCATTTATTTTTGTTTGTTATTGCTCCATCAAGGGCAAACATTTATTTTTTCTGAATAGTACCCACCACAGTGTGGGCACTAAGCAGATAGCTGTTGAATGAATTAAAACAAACAAACAACAACAACAAAAAAAAAAAAAAAAAACCAAGGTTGGGAAGGCAAACCCGAAAACCCAACCCCCCGGGAAGCCAAGCAAGAAGAATGGTCAAATTGGGCCCAAAACGCCGAAAAAAGAATTAACAATTAAAAGGGCCTAACAAGACCCTGTCTCAAAATAAAAAAATAAAATAACATAAAGTAAAATAAAATAAAAAGATCTGAGATACAGTCTAGTACAAAGACCTTGGATTCAATCCTAATTACCACACATACACACACGCACACACACACACACCAAAAAACCTAGAACTCTTTTTTTGTTAATGTCCATTATAAGGAAAAATAAATATTTTTTTTCAAACCAGAGAGTTTGTTAGTTCTAGAGTAGGACTTTTTTTTCTTGGTTGTGGTGGTATGGGGAATTGACCTAGGACCTTTCATACTGAGCTCCATCCCCAGACCTTCTTTTATTTTCCATTTGAGACAGGCCTTCACTAAATTGTTGAATTGGTTGGGCTGGGTTCCAACTGTTTTCTTACAATAATGGATTATTTTATTGAAAATATAGAAAATATGGAAACATATACATAGGAAATAAAGAACATCCATGGGTCTTTATCTGGTGTTAACTGCTATTATTATTTATTATTTTGGTATATTTCCTTCTTTTTCCTATGTATTTTTAATAAAATGAAATCAAGTTGAATATATCATTTTATCACTTGGATTTTTTCATTTTATATTATATATTTTAAATTATAATGTGAAATTTTTTCCCATGTACTAAAATCTTTAATTACCGGCAGTATTTTCATCATATTTGATCATATTTTATCTGGGCAATCTTTCCCTTATTGTTGAACACTGAGGTTATTTCTGAATTTTTTGTTTTTATTGTCATAATAGGATCATTAATTCCTTTTTAAAAAATTGATATCTGAATTTCAGACAGTATACAAATCTTAAAGATTTCTTCTCAGTTGAACAAATAGAAGTTTACAGATGGAGGAAGCTTCAAGAACTGATATATGGTGGTTATTGATTTCCACTAAGAACAGGAATCTGTGTTACTGGCTCTGAAATCTCACAGCAAAGTTAATGTGCCTTAGGAGGAAGTGTTCCAAAGGATTTGTGAAATACTACTTGGCACTTTACAAATTCTGTGTTTGAATTTAACCTCAGAAGGGCTTTTAGTTCTAAGAGAAGCTTCAATGTAAATTAGAAGGGAAAGATATGGTCTGGTAGACATGAAAAAGCAATAGTTTAAAAAGAAGTAAAAAAAAAAAAAGAAGTCCTTAATTATACTTAAGTCTTTGGATAGCTATGAGAGATTTTTTAAAAATCTTGTTCCAATTATGTATTATTTAAAAAATTGGTAGCTCATAATTATTGGGCTTTATGCCTTTAATAATCCTGTCTATGAACAAATAAAATAAATTTAAAAACAGCTATATTTTTGTTTTTTATATTCCTAAATTTTCATTAGATATAGTGGAAAATTCTAGTCAATAAAGAAAGGAGTAAGATAAAAAGTATTTAAAGCAGGGAATATTATCCTGGGTTTTTTTTTACTTTCATATGACTTTTATAAGATTTAGAAATAAAATGTGAATATTTTTTCTTGTATTTTACTATATATGTTTTCAATATATCCAGCAACTATACCACAATTTAAAGGAATAAATTGCCTGTTTTATGCAAAAAATTTTTAAAATTTGTCTGTATAGCTGTTTCTTACTTTTTCTTTTAGGATTGTAGAAGAATACCATGATTTATATACCTTACAAAGAAGAAGGGCGGAGGCTGATATTAAGCAGTTAATGGAAGAAAGAGATATCTGGAGCTCAGCCACATATGAACTGGCCCTAAAGGTTGGTTCATCTGGACTCACAACTCAAACTTTTGTATTAGCTAAAGTTTCATTTTATAATTTTTATTATTATTTTTGTTGTTGTTGTCATTGTTGTTGTTTTTGTTTTTCTTCCGGTACTGGGAATCAAACTCATGACCTTGCGCTTGCCAGGGAGGCGCTGTGTCGCTGAGCTAAATCCCCAGCCCCTATACTTTTTAATAATGTAGACAAAAATTGAGAAAAAGCAAGGCATTTAATTATTGATGGATAATGTAGCTTTTGTGGGCCTTAGTAGTGGAAAGTTAAATTTCTTTTTTTCCTTTTTCTTCTGTTGTATGCCTACCTATTGCACAACTAAGGGCTCTTTTTTTTTTTTTTTCACCAGAACCTGTAAAGCATTAAAAAAGTATTCTTTTTGTTGTTGGTGGTGTTTGACAACTTGTTTAAAATTGCAATTTTAATTGATACTAATAATAAACTAGAAAAAATGTTCTAGTTTTTATTTAATATAAACATTTTAGGATCATTGGATATCACACAGCACATCTTTTACATTGGTGTACAGATGTGAAATATGGTAGCCTGTGGAACACGATGGCTTTAAAGAACGACCAGCAAAGTCCCACAGTATTCTGCATTTCTAAAATGCTTAGCTGTTGGTTGCTTATTCAGACATCTGGAATTTGTAGGTATTAAAAGTGAAGTATGACCCACATAGTTTAAAATATTGCTCCAGTTTGACTGGTTCCTTAGTCCACTGGTGGCAGGTCACAGGGTCTCCATGGAGTAGCCTGCATAATAAACTTGCGTTAGAATTCTGTATTAGACCCTAGTAATAGCAAATATCAATAGATATAATCTATATCAATAAAAGCACTTTGGAGTCCTCAGTAATTTTTAAGAGTGTTAACGTATCTTGAGATCACATTGTTTAGAACCTCTGCTATGTACTCTATGTTAGTTCGGTTACACTGCTTTTAGAAAATGTGAATTTGTGATTCAAATTAGTTAATGATTTAAATAACAAGTTTTGGTTGAGATAATTACTCAGTGAAAACTTGATTTTGAACTAACTGTGGTAGCTTTTAGATGAAAATGTAGAAGGCATCCCTGTCAAAGTGTGAAGATACCCAAAGCTAGAGAGAAAGCTAACATACTACATGTATGTAAACTAACATACATTCCATATCATTTACTTGGAAGAGGTAATTACTAGAAACCTAGAGCATTAATGGGGACAAATTAGTAGCATCCCCACTGGGAGGAGAAGGGATTTATTTATTCATTTTCACTCTCATTCACCCAAGAGTATGCAGTAGATATTTCTAGAAATTATATGACACAGAATATTGCAACAGACAATATAGAAGCAAATAAGAGAATCAAGCTCTATTCTTTTTTAATTAATAAAGTTTATTGGTACATTTTAGGTACACATAATGATCACATTCATAGGGAATTTATACCTGTACATGATATAACTTGATTCTTCTTTTTTCCCACTTCCCTACCCTCCCATCAATCTAGCTCTATTCTTTTAAGAGACATTAAAGATATTTGTAAAAATGTAAAAAATGGTACTCTTTATTATTTTTTGAAAAATGTTATATTTTCATAAAATACTATTTATGTTAACATAATGAGTTTATTAATATGTTTAAGTGAATTACCAAATGTGTATTTTAAATAATTTTAGTCTCATTTTTTAGTACAACAAATATCAATAGATATAATCTACATAAATAAAAGCACTTTAGGTCCTCAATAAATTTTTCTTTTTCTTCTGGTACCAGGAATTAAACTCACAACCTTGTGCTTACCAGGCAGGCGCTGTGCCACTGAGCTAAATCCCCAGATCCTACTCAGTAACTTTTAAGAGTGTTAGGTATCTTGAGATCAAATTGTTTAGAACATCTGCTATGTATTTTATGTTAGTTTGGTTCCACTGGTTTTAGAAAATGTGAATTTGTGATTCAAATTAGTTAATGATTTAAATAACAAGTTTTGGTTGAGGTAATTACTCAATGAAAACTTGATTTTGAAACAACTATGATAAATTATAGTTTGTTAATGTTTTTGGTTCCTGATTCAAGTACATTATTTTTACAGGTAATTGAAAGAAATGGAGTCATATTGGCTAAAAGGCTCTACCTCAATGAAAAAATCTGGAATAAATATACTAAACATTTCATCAAGTTGTTGTCAAACAAGGTAAGGCTCAATCCACCTAAGTCATGAGAGCAAAGACTCCAAGTGTTGATGGTTGAACGAATAAGGATTTACTTTGATAAATTTATAAATTTTTAAGTATAGTTTTGTATTTGTG